GTTCTGGGCTTCTTCATTGGGCCCAAATGCTCGTGAACTGGAACTTTGCCTCTCTCGTCGGGAACTGGATCGAGGCGCTCCAAAACTGGCTTCCTCCTTCGGGATGATTCTGCATGATCTCCGGGAGTAGCCATAGGAATTAACGGCGACTTTGGTTGATTCGCCGGAGTTTGACCTTGCTTAGAAGGCTGCGATGGTTGCTTTTCGGCCTGAGTTGCCACTTCAGACTTCGGCTTCCAGACTTGGCGGGTTGGTGGTGGCTTCTTCGTCTCCTCCTTTTGCAGTCTTCTACGGGCTTCCTGGACTTTAGCCCGTGCCTGTGCCGACATCGTGCGGCGCTTGCGGATACGCTCCTCAAGCGTCAAATGGTTCCGTTTGACACGGACCCATTCATTCTTTGGCGACTTGGAGGAGTCGCCGTTCATTAGTGGTTGAGGCTGTTTGCCTTTTCTGTTCTTCAGATCCGCGTTGTAACGGAATCCGTCTGTAGACTCCATCGCCTTGGCGAGTTGCCGCGCAAGGCGTTGACGACGCCTCTGACGGACAAGAATAGGTTTGACCTCGTTGGAGGTCGGTGGAACTTCACCCGACGTAACTTTGGCGTCAGCCGGGGTGAGAGCTTCGTTGGCGTTCTGAACTTATTCAAACCAACGAGCTTTTCTCCTGGAGGAGAACTTCTTGGACTTGCGGGGGGAGGTAGATCCGGACGAGGACACGTACTCCTCGAACTTGGCTTGGTCGAACTCATACTCGACCTCCTCCACGACCGGGATTGAGATCCGCGGCTGCGACGTGACGGTCTCGGCAGTGAGACTGTTGGCTCCCACTATGGTCGCCAGATTGTTCGCGGGGAAAATCGTTTTCTTCATTGATGGCGTTGTGATCTCAAAATAACAACTTTTTGTGGTTACAAAAGATCCGGTCTTTTTATAAGATCCGGTTACAACGAAATCAAAAATAAAGAAAAAGAAAATTACAACTTTCTCCTTGTGAACAAATCGCGAGCTCTTGTTTTGCGGTCGCTCGCTTGTGTGGGTTCTTTGCCAACGTCGGGGTTAATCTGTGGACCACCGCGCGATCTATATCCGGTCGGATCTACACGATTTGACGGGTATTATTCCACGAAGGGAATAATAGCCGGGAGGGATTAATCCACCAAGGGAATAATCGCTCAGATCTCGAGATCTAAGACCAAGCTTAGATCTGGAGTGTGGTCTCGTGTAGATCTCAGATCTGTTCTTTCTTCCTCTCGAGATCCTGCCTTTTCTGACGTGGATGGTCGCCGAGGATCAGATCTGAATGTGCAAGTCTTCTGGTCTTCAAGCTCCGAGTTCACTCTTCAATCCGGCAGAGTTTCGGCTCTTGAAAGTTCGACCCCCAAAAATGAACATCTCTAGGCCTATTTATAGGCTCTCAGGACAGTGGCTGCAAAAAGGGAATTGTCGGCCACCTCGGGCCACTGTCGGCCACCTCGGGCCACTGTCGGCCACCTCGGGGTGGCCGACACTGTGCCTAGCCACCTTTCTGAGTTCGAGTCCGAAACTGATCTTGATTCGGTCGTGATTCATCCGAGTCCGCTCTTGTTTGGATAACTCGTTGACTCCCTGAACCGTTGGCTTGATTCCGCACGCGAATGGATGCATTCCGTTGCTCGCGTGCGATTCGTTGACCTTGTCGCCTCGTCACTCGATTGTTTGTCGAATCATCGCGTCGAGCTATGCCAAGGGACTTATAAGCAATTTTACATGCCTACACTCTATGATATGGAGTCCCATAGCAGGGGAAGGTATCCCTAGACCCTTCCTCAGGTACCTGGATAGCATTCAGAGGGTCAATTCTGTTGCATGGGCCCCGTTCTTTTATAATAAAATTATCAGGGACATTGGAGTTGCTTTGGAGGGAAAGAAGAAGCAAAAGGTCGCATATGTCCCAGGTTGCATGACACTATTGTGTGTAAGTTCCATATTTTACTGATCTTGTTTCATTCTAATTCGTACCTATGCATTGTTAGTTCTAACTTATTCTATGTTAGTTCTATTCTGTAGCGTGTTAGTTCTAATCTGCACAGTGTTAGTTCTATTCTGTAGAGTGTTAGTTCTAATCTGCACAGTGTTAGTTCTATTCTGTAGAGTGTTAGTTCTAATCTGCACAGTGTTAGTTCTATTCTGTAGAGTGTTAGTTCTAATCTGCACAGTGTTAGTTCTATTCTGTAGAGTGTTAGTTCTAATCTGCACAGTGTTAGTTCTATTCTGTAGAGTGTTAGTTCTAATCTGCACAGTGTTAGTTCTATTCTGTAGAGTGTTAGTTCTAATCTGCACAGTGTTAGTTCTATTCTGTAGAGTGTTAGTTCTATCTGCACCCATTTAAGTTCTATCATAGGTCATGTTAGTTCTATCATAATTCATGTCGTACCACGTACTAATTTACACCATGTTAGTTCTAGATGCAGCCATATTTTATTCTCTTTAGTCTAGTCTAGTATTAAATGTTAATGGTAAATATATTATTTGGTACAGCTTTGGTACTACGAGATGACAGGCATAAAGAAATATGCCCTCTTAGACACCTCCAGACCTCCAATGACAAATTGGGCATCAGGGGAGGAGAGAATCGCATCTATGAGGATGCCGACAATTATTTCAAAGGCTAAGTCAGCGTCAATAACATTTGTCCATAGGCCTATTGCGGAGGTCGCTTCTCCTGGTCATGTTCATTCACTTCCCGCTGAACAGAGGGATGAAGTTCTTCAGCAAAAGCGTCAGGCAAAGAGGAAGGCTTTGCAGGAAGAAACTACTAAGAACTTCTCAATAGGTTACGTAAGTATCCTGTTATGTTAAGTCGTACTCATTTCACACTAACTGCAAAGAATATCTTAATTATATTTAATCCTACTTAAAATTATAATCTTGTATCAATAACAGATCGTGGCAAAGCATATTGATGTTGCTTTTGACGATGAAGAGGAGATCAATGTTCTTCCCATTGAGCAGCAACTCACATTTTGGAGAAATTCTGCTAAATTTCTCAAACGACTTCTTGTTGCTACAAAGAGACCAAGAGCAAATATTATAAAGAATTCATGATTGAGATCAACAGGCTTAACAGGATAATTGAAAAATGTGGAAGACATGATGAGGTTATAGACCCGGTGCTGCTTAAGTCAAATATCAAAAAGAAAATTACAAATGAAATTAGGAAGAAGCGACGGGAAACTCAAGAGGAACAGAAGTCCAAATCAAGCAGTGTATATAAGGAAGAGCCCACCATGCAAGAACATGTACATAAGATTGTTGAAGAGGATGTGATGCATCCTGCTGACGATGAAGCAAGTAAAGAGGAGCCTGTTACTTCTCCAGGGGCGGGGGTATATAGTAAGGTTGACCAGACTGTAGATACTAAGGTTGAGGATAGTGTAGATAAGGAAGAGGAGCATATGGAAGCTATTGTAGATACGGAAGAGGAGCATATTGTAGATAAGGAAGAGGAGCATATGAAAGACATTGTAGATAAGGAAGAGGAGCATATGGAAAATGAAAATTTTATTGTAGATAACAAAGGTTTTGATGAGGATACTGTTGATGGTGTAGATAAGGAGGAAGATATTGTAGATAAAGAGAAGGAGAATGTAGATAAGTTGGAAGCACAGGAGGAAGAGGATCTTGTGAATATTAAACATGATGTGGACAATCTTGTAGATGTTCTAACGAGCAATGTGAAAGCAAAGCGTAGACCAAAGGCAAAAAGGGTAAGCAAGAGATCTAAATTCAAGAGGACACCATATACTGAAGGCAAAAGAAAGAAAAAGGAAAAAATTAGTATAGATATACTTGAAAGTCCTGAACCAAAAGTAAAACTAGCTGAAAAAGTTACTCATTTTTATCCCGGTATTCAAATCCCCACTTTTGATGCGTTGAGTTTCAAGCCAATGACAGATGAAGAGGAAGCTCTATTGGGAGAGCTGAATAATGAGCTTCCAGACCCTACATTGTTTAACTTACGCATAATAGATAGCACATGTGCTTTTGTACATAATTTAAAGATACCATCTCCCGTAGCAGAAAGACTCGACAAAGCTGAAATTGAGAGCCTAACCAAATTTTGTTCTCAGAAGATTCACAAGTAACTTTCAGTTGACTATTTATATGTTAATTCTCCACATATTAGTTCTAATTCATGTTAGTTCTAATTTATACCAGGAGATATAATGTTATAGTA